CAGAATATTGCAGCACGTTTGAAGTTTGCAAAAGAGCACCTGGATGTTCCACAGCACTACTGGCAAAATATACTGTGGACAGATGAAACCAAGATTGAGTTGTTTGGGAAGAACACACAACACTATGTGTGGAGAAAAAAAGGCACAGCACACCAACATCAAAACCTCATCCCCACTGTAAAACATGGCGGAGGGAGCATCATGGTTTGGGGCTGCTTCAGGGCCTGGACGGATTGTTGTCATTGATGGGAAAATGAATTCCAGAGTTTATCAAGACATTTTCCAGGAAAACGTACGACCATCTGTCTGCAAGCTGAAGCTCCGCAGAGGATGGGTGATGCAACAGGACAATGACCCAAAGCATACAAGTAATTCAACAAAACAATGGCTGCAACAGCACAGAATACGCCTTCTGGAGTGGCCTAGTCAGAGTCCTGACCTCAACCCGATTGAAATGCTATGGCATGACCTTAAGAGAGCGATTCACACCAGACATCCCAAGAATATTGCTACACTGAAACAGTTTTGTGAAGAGGAGTGGTCCAAAATTGCTCCAGATCGTTGTGCAGGTCTGATCTGCAACTACAGGAAACGTTTGGTTGAGGTTATTGCTGCCAAAGGAGGGTCAACCAGTTATTAAGTCCAAAGGTTCACATACTTTTTCCTCCCTGCACTGTGAATGTTTACATGTTATGTGCAATTAAACCATGGCAACATCTAATGTTTGTGTAGTATTATGTTCAGCAGACTGTGTTCTTCTATTGTTGTGACTTAGATGACGTTCAGAGCACATTTTATGCCCAACTCATGCAAAACTCCACGTAATCCCAAGGGGTTCACATACTTTTTCTTGCAACTGTAGGAGTAACAATAGATGCAGAAAAACAGAGGAAAATGTATATAATAATTCACGGAAATATAAATATGCAGGAGGTAGAAATGAATTATAAGTGTTTGGCAAGATGGTATATCACACAGTGTGGCACACAGATTGATTGGAGATAATTCACCTTTATGTTGGCGTGGATGTGGAGGTAGAGGCACAATGTATCACATATGGTGGGAGTGTTCTAAAATACAAGATTTTTGGGGGAAAATAGTAAGCTTCATTCAGAAAATTACAGAGGTTGATATTCTAGTAGACCCAGAGATTTGCCTTTTTCATAGTACTAAGTCTTCAGTTAAAAAATACAAAGAATCTGGCTTATTGTACTATTTGAATGCAGCAAAGAGACTGATACCCAAGTATTGGAGGAGACAGGAGGTGCCGAAAATAAAAGACTGAGTGGATAGGGTGGATCAAATATGTAAATTGGAGGAACTTTATCATTTGAATGAAAATAAGATGGAGAGTCACCATACAAGATGGAACAAATGGGAGGAATTCAAAAAGTCAAGGCTAGCCTTAGAGGTTATGGGAATTAACATAGAATAATATGGAAACATATTTTGTTCTTCTTTTATAGGGATTATGATCTCCAGAAATATACAGGAAAATGAAGATCAGAAGGGGTAGGGATTGGATGGGGGGTGATGGGTGGTATATAGGTTGGGGAAGGGGGGGGGGATGGGAGGGGGGAAGGAATGAAACGATAAAAGTTTTTATAATATGCTAAGGTTTTAATGAGTATGTTTGTATAACTTTTTTAACTGAAAAATTTATAAATATTTAAATTAAAAAAAAAAGAAAAGAAAAAGAAAACTAATTGCAGTCACCACATATAAGAAATAGTAAGTTGAAATATAGAATATTTTTGTTCTTGGGTTTACATACGAATTAGGTCCTGTCCCTATCTTGTATTGTCTTGCATAGTTATTTATTGAAATTGCCTAGAAGATGCTTCAGCAATAAAAAGTAGAACTGGGAGCTTCATCATTTTGAAGATGTAAACACGTTTCATCACTTGCACAAATTAATGCTCCTGTATGCACAAAAGTAAAAAAGTATGCAATGATAATACCCTGACCATATCTCATATTTACCTAATTTAAGTGTTTTTAGCCAAAAGAAATCTTCCAGTGGAACACAAATGGCAAACAAGGTAGATCTTAACCATTCCTTGCTATATTCAAATGAAAAAAAGGCTTTTATAGCTATATAAAGAAATCCTGGAACACCCAAATTCTTATGCAAATTATTCTTTTATTTGCTGGTGAAGCTTTGGTGGACCTCTGCAGAAGGCTATTACAGCTTTCTTTTCAAATTGCATAGCGGAAAGTCTCTACCTCAACACAACATATCATTTCTTTCTTTCCTTGTGCTTAAAAGGAATGTGTCAGCATAAATTAATGCGAGCTTCCATTGCTGCCTTGGTTTTGAAGGTACAAGTTCAATGGTATTACTGTTGTTATTGTGCATATCAGGTGTTCTAATACCTGATATACATCATGCTTGTTCCCCATCAGTGACCAAGAAATATTGAAACAATAAGTATGAGAACACAGGAACACAGCTTTAAAAACATGTTAGCAATAGCATAACCCATATTTTATGCTGAAAATTTCCGTTTAATACCATTAAAGGTCTTATCTCCTGAAAGATTCCATTTTTGATCTGGGTACCATGGCTTGGTATCATTCACAGGATGAATGAATCCAAGTGTCACGGAGCTGGTTCTCCCCCCCCCCCCCCCCCCCCCATCCATCCTCCAGGCTTGCTGCTTGCCACCACCATCCCTCAGCACCCCCCTGTCGCCGGCAGTCTGGCCCCCTGCTGAGGGAGCATCCTGATTCCCTGGCTGGATGCCAGAAAGTTGCCCCCCTGCTGTGGGAATCCACAAACAGGCCTTCTCCTGTCACCCCTCCTCCCTGCCCCCTCTTGCACGTCTTCCCGGGCTCCATGCCAGACAGGAACAAAGGCCGTGTTCTCTGGGCGGGTCCGGAGACACGGGGGATGGGGCCCGTTACCACGGCAACAGCAACGTGCCCCTCTCTGTACTTAAGGCGGAGCAGGGCAACCGGCCGGTTGTTCTCCTGTGTGCTGTGTCTGAGAGAGAACTGTGCTGCGGCCAGCTTCTCAGGACTACCATCCCCCAGCTCTCCTCTCCCTGGCTGACCTGACTGCCAGTCTGCTGCCTGATCTCTCCCCTGTGTGGGGTTAACTCTCTGCTGCTAGTGAGTCCCTGGATTGCTACCTTGTGAACTGCCTTCTGCTCTGTGCCCGGATTACTCTGCCCTCCAGCCTGTTGCCTGCTTTGTGCCCGGATTACCCTGCCTGCCTGAACTGCCTTCTGTGTGCCCGGATTACCCTGCCTGCCAGCCTGCCCTCTGCTGTGTGCCCGGATTACGCAGCCTGCCAGCCTGCCCTCTGCTGTGTGCCTGGACTTACCCATTGCCTGCCTGAACTGCCCTCTGCTGTGTTGCCTGTGTGGACTGCAACCCTCCGTGTCCGGCTCCCCACATCCAGTAAGTGGACTAACCCCGTGCTGCCCAAAAGACTGAGCCCAATTCTCCCCAAGAACCCGAAGTCCCACAAAACCGCCACGCCCCTGTCTTACTGAACCCTGTGGACTACCAGCCCTCTGTTGTTCCATATTGCCTTCCAAAGAACTTTACTGTGTTGCTGTGTCTGGTGTGAATCTGTAGACTAATGGATCTATTGTCTGTACCCCAATAAACGCCCACACGTCAGGTTCCGTGCAATCTGTCTCCGTGTGCTCTCTCCCTGCACTCTCGGTTCTCGTGACACCAAGCAATCAATTTTATTCTGCCAGCCAGTAAAATGTGACTTTTAAAATAGTACTACAAACTTTCCATATTATCATCTACCTATTTTAGACTCTTTAATCTGTCTGTGTTGTGCAGTGAACACTAAAAAGAAAAGAAACAAATAGCATCAAAGATGTAATGATGTGCAATGAGAGAGTCTTTCCCACTGTCATATTTTACTATATTTACATGGTGATGAGGGCCCCAACTTTTGTCATAAATACTGTACATCACGATCTACAGTATATCCCCCTTAATGCTTTTTTGAACATACATTTAAATTGTGCACGATTACTTACCTTTAAAAATCTGATTACAGCATACATGGGATCACGTAACATTCTTCTGCTAATTTTGAGATCTTGGCTTTAAAAAGGAACTATTGGCATTGAACATCTCACTCAAGATGCAATAAAACGGATTTTTTTTTTATTAGAGAAGCGAAATTCAGAGATCTTGCATTTAAATATCAATCAGCAATACAATGGACTGGTTTAAGAATTTGTCATTCCTAAAGTCAAGGAAAATCTCAAACATTCTCTTTAGTCATACCCCTATAAATATGTGCAGCTAATACAGAGGGCCTCTATAATTTATTCTCTTGTGCTTTTTATTTTTATCAGTGGTTGTGACTTTAGCACAATTAGGGTGCAGTAGCAAACTGTGGTATACATTTGGGTTTAGTTTTAAACACAAATCTTTAATACTGGTGATCAGAAAGGCACTTAGTGAATGAAAGTTTAAAAAATAAAATAAAAAATCTTGCGTAAGTAAACATTAATATAATAGTTGGCCCATTTGATCATAAAATTACGTAGAATACAACAATCTATGTATTTCTCTGTGTCAGCCAGTGAAAAGTGGGGAAACTCTTATTGAAATTGTCCCACACGCTTTGAATATTGCCATCAGCCTGTTTTACACTCTATAGTCTATGTTGTGATTTGAACACTGCAGAGAGAGAAACCAATACCATCAAGAGGTGCTATAAAGTTCAGCACTCCATTGCTTTTACTGGAAAATGGAGAACCAAACTTTTGTCCTCTTTAATGTGATGTGTGTACTTGTGGCTGTTTCTCATAAAGCACTGAGATAGTTGATGTGAAGAAGGCAGATGATCTTGCACATGGATACTGTGTTGCAGTAATTGGGCATCATCTTGGTGCAAGTGTGCTGAACAGAATTCACTTCACTGCCAGAGAGGCCTGAAACACTGGTACAGGCGACTCGGGGACTGAAGGGGATAAGGTTGTGATACAGTTCAGAGGCACATGAGGTGATAAAAAGTAGGACTATTCGCTTCCTTTGGTTCCATTGTAGTCTGTGTCTCGAATTTCTGCATCTTCTTCAGTTCCATCAGCTACGCTTTCTACCGCTCTTCTGTTCCCTGTGGATCTTCGAGGAGGGGCGAATGATGCTGGCTCATTACCCCGTCTGCCAGGCAAAATTAAAGATGATCAAGCATTAGCAATGTTTATTTCCCTGTCTCCAGCAATGATTAAATATTTAAAGGATTGTCATTAATTTAATGTGGTTTTTTTTTTGTTTACATAGGAATTTCACTGACCAGCAGAAAAGCAAGTATTAATTTCAGGTTGTCTACATAATATTTTACATGCTTATTGTACTGTGTTTTCTAAAAATGTTCAATAAAAAAACATTTGTAGCCCCTAAAGGCATTTCTAACCCAGACAGTGTAATTAATAGTTTGCCTAATTACTGCTCTGAGAGGGTGCAGGTCACATCACTGTGGAGCACATTATATTTTGACTGTGTAACATTCATTGAATTGGCTTGCTTAATGACACTCACTTTCCCTGTCTCCAGGAATGTAAATGGTCCATAGACAGAATAATGAGACTTTTTAGCCTTTGTTAAGTGGCACTGTTTATCAAACACAGTTTTATGCTCAGCATATTTTATACTTCCCAGAATGTCATGTCTCCTATACAGCATCTCTTATTAGCAGTATGATTCTTGTATGGCTGCTTTCGTAAATCCGTAATATAATAAACATGATTAGTAGAGAGGTATCATTGTTAATGTTCTGAATGTATGTTAACATTTTCAGTGATCAGTAAAATGTCCTTTAAGATGACATCTCCTTTAACTATTTTGATCTACAAATGAGAGAGAAAACAAATACACCTCCTACGCCTTACATATTTTCCTGTAAGAAGACAGATGTGAATTAGTAAAAGAACTTAGGATTTGTCCGTGACGTTATGCTATAATGATTTAGTTCTGTATGTTAAGTTCCAAGGATAATTTTCTGCATGCAGTTTGTATTTAATTACAGTCATGTTACTAGGTTGACCATGCAATGGTGTCTCCAATGCAGTTAATAGAATACAGTAAGTTTGATATACCGTTATAAATCAAGCATTTCATACATTTTACTAATATTAAATTTAAGGTCAACATCTTATGTGTCTAGGGATCATTCTTCAGTGTTTGCAGTTTTTTTTCCACATATTTTGTTTTTGGCTTTATGTTTTACTGAACATTTGGCTTTGGTTGAAGCCATCCATGTAGAACCCCAAATAAATCTATAAGAAGCAAGATCATAGTATTGTAGAACATACAGATTGTGTGGAAACGACATTATTACATCTTTGGTACATGCATTATTTCCCAACAGTAGAAACATTTGATAGACTTGATGCCTACTGTTTAAAGGCTGGACTTAAGTAAAATATAACAAAAACAGCATTTATTCCAGTAATGAAAAGCCATTTATGTATTTTATCCACAGAGAATATGCCTTTTTTTTTTTTACATAATTCCTAAATCAGTCATGTTATCTGACTCCTATATTGCCCATAAGAGCAATTTTCATACTGCAAGAGGGAGGATCAGCGCTTTGAACCATCTGGTTCACTGTTGCTTTACATAGGTCTGTCAGTCAACAATTTAAACATGTTTACAGGAGAAAGGAGCAGAGTGATTGCCTCATTAATATACTGCTTCTCCTTCATTCTCTTGTCACAGGATGGAGGCAAGTTGGTGGACAAGTTGCTTTTCAGTAGATATGATCTGGCTATGTGGTCTTGCAAGGGTGCTGATGTTATAGCCAAACACAATTTTGTTTCCTTTGACAGTTAGTTTTTGCAGGTGCATTTCATTTGTGCATATATATGTTCGCTGTGTTTAGCTTTGAACTACAGATATTTGTAATATTATTAGTCTTATAGACTTGTGAAGTCTTGCATATCCAAGAGTTATTTTCTCATTAACAGATTCCCTTTACCAGTAGAGTCTAAAACTATCAAAATCATGAGAGTGGAGGGTTCCTACTTGAAGCAAGTGAGCTTCTGAGATGGCCAATAATTTACGTGTAACAGAAATATATAAACATAAATAGGTACTGTAGATGGTTTTAAAAGATAAGTTGGGGTTCTATAAAAAAAAAATATTATACCCACCTAGTTGGATGCAGCATCAGTCCCCCGTTGCTTCTAAGACTGAGAAATTGGAGACTGCTGATTGCTTAATTCTCAGTCTTAAGAGTGCAGTCAGCAACTCTGCTCTGCAACTCCAGCGCTCACTTGAGTGAGAGGCTGTGGAGGGGGCGGGAGTGGCTGCTTTAGGCTCTCATTGGCTCACTCAGAGGCTGAGCCAGCTGCCGATCAGGCTTCTGGGTAGATCCCGACCATATGGTTGGGATCTTTGCAGGGCCTGGACTGGCTGAGTGATGTTAGCTAAAATACACATGCATTTACGTATCTGAAAAAAATCATGTGTATATCAGGAGTTCCAGGTCAGTGATGCAAATTACAGACAACTAGATTAAGGAGGATGACCGAGGCTAGCTTATTTGGGGATAACACTTACATATCTGATTGTTAGTTTCCCATACACACCAGTGAATCATGAACAGTCTTTGTGCACACAACCTGTAATTTTGATCTTGATATTTACCACAAGCAGGAGGTTGCTACTACAAAAAGTCTAGACACTGGGCTCATGGGTTCTACATGGAAGGACTATCCAAAACTGGCTTCTACTTTTCAAGTGGTATTCTCCTTTGAGTAGCACTCCTATATAGTAGTCTATTAATTGTTTTTATTGCTGTATTACAGAAGGCACTGCAACTATGTACCGTAACTAACACAATAAATGAAAGCACTCTTCTAATCTTATTTATTGTGAGTGCATATATTAATGTTAATGTGCAAAGTGGTCAAACTCATATCAACAAACCAAAATTACTTTTAAATTACTCTTTTAATCGTTTTACAACAATAATCTAAAAAGTAATTGGGTGCTGTGAGTTGCTATACTTTGCCCATTTACCACTGTCCTTTGCACTGCATTATTCACAATCCTGTACTGATTTGTTCTAAGTAAAACCCAATAGAAATGTTGCAGTTTAAATCCATGTGAACAATCTTCAGTTGTATATGTATCCATTTACATCTCATTTGCTTTAAAAGAAAATGCCAGTGCTTAATTAAAACATATTGCTGTTGATATACTAAAGGAGTGGCACATGTTCACTTTGCTCAGTGAATGTTCACATAGTTCAGTGAATAAAGTGAAGCTAAGTGACAATTCACTTCGCGAAAAAGTGGAAAAAAAAATATTTTTGGTTGCCCATTATTGTATGATTTAAGTTAGCAGAGCTCGACTTTGATTCACTGAGCAATCCACCTTTTTCCTATGGAATTAGAACTAGATAGAAATAAATTTCATTTAATTCAGGCTAAAGTGCTCATTATCATGCATGACTTAGACGATTGAGGATGGCAGTAGAGAGATTGACGTGTTTCGTTAGTTGAGTGCAATACATTTTCAGAAGTATATTTGTATAGGTGGAGGATGTTAGTTTTCAGACTATACATCTTCCCTTATGTATTAGATTTGTATCCATACATAAATGTCCAAGCCTTCAGATTTTGCTGGAAAAGGGGTGGCTGTTTAAAGACACATTGTATGCTTCAAAACAGAAAACGTTTATACCATTTTTTTCCAATATGAATGTATTTCTTTAAGCTTTACTGACCCTTACTCCAACTAAAATAAATATCTGTTAATATTTAGCTGGATAATCTAATTACAGTAACATACAATGTGAATTTAAAAAAAAAGATTAAGGTGGAAATTGATACACCTGTATAAAAGAATTGCAAAATTGAAGGCATTGGTACCTGCTTAGTCATTGCGTAGTGTCCTGTGTCCCTCTGAAACAGAAAGTCTGCAGCTGTTATACTAGCACATCATAACAAGTTAACGTAAAAAAAAAAAAATGGGTTAGATAAAATAGCAGAGGCTAATGTCAACATTTCTATATATAAATGTATACTGTACATATACTTTAAGTAGGCTTCTATGCTCATTCAGTTGTTTTCAACTGAATTTTATATAACAACCGTAAAGAAAATCACTTCTTTTAATGCAACTTTCACAAAATGACTACACACTGGGTAATTGGTCCAGCCATTAAGTAACCAGCAGCATATCTTTTCAAATATAGTAACAGGTGGACTAAATGTAATGTTTCTCAGACCTGTCCACAAGTCTCAGAAGCAGTGCATATGTCATGTGGAACCTCACATGTACACAAGATGAGTAATGAGTGTCATAGTAATGCTACCTTGCTAGGCAGTCAGAAACATGAACTGGTGGTGGGTAACCAGGGGCGGACTGACCATTTGGAAACTCGGGCACTGCCCGAGGGCCCGGGGTCAGTAGGGGGCCCCATGAGATGCCCCTGGTACCTTTTTCATAGGCTTTTTTGAGTTTGGGCAAGGACACAGGGGCCCCATGATCCCCTATTGCCCGGGGGCCCCATGAGTTGTCAGTCTGCCCCTGTGGGTAACACTGTCAAAAAGTATCACTTGCTTGTTCTAACTATGTACATATGACTGTCCAGAAAGATTTACTATCTGTTTCAGTCAATGAGGAAGATTAACTAAAGCTGGAGTGTGCAAAATCTGGTGCAGCTCTGCATAGAAACCTGCATAGTTAATTTTTTTTAAGCATAGTGTTGCAATTTTAAGTTCTTCAAGAATTAAAGAATATTTTTAATCTAGCTGTACTCATATATTTAGTATTATATATAATAATAGGTATATATTAATAATCATTTCTAGTTGATGAAGAGCTTAGAGTAGATAGACCGTTGAACTGAAGTAGCTCATCAGTATGGTATATGAATAGAAACACTGTTGCACTAGAAAGTAAGCGAATGGAAGCAGTGGGGGGAGATTTAGTAAAACTGGAGTGTGAAAAATCTGATACAGTTCTACAAAGCAACCAATCAGCTTCCAGGTTTTATTGTCAAAGCTTAACTGAACAAACTGAAGTTAGAAGCCGATTGGCTACCATGCACCGCTGCAACAGATTCTAGGTGCTCCAATTTTAGTAAATCTCCCCAGGTTCATGTCAATGAACCTACGTAATTAGCTGTATCAAACTGACAATAAAAAGCA